GGCCCTGCCACCGAGGAGGTTTTTGACCACCTCAGTGACCTCGTTCCCAGAGATTGGAGAGCCCAACCCAAAGTCCCCAGGCTCAGCTTTCTCAACAGAAGGCATGTTGGTGGGATTGAGGAGGTCTTCAAAGTATTAATTATTATTACTACTACTAATACTACTACTAATACTACGACACTCCAGGTTGTAAATGTCATGAAGCTGTTGTGATGACCTACAGAAATGGGCGTGACAGAAGCAGTGGGAGGTTCTTAAAGAAACAGTTTAATTTCAAGAACAGCTGTGATGAGAACAAAACTTTTTTTGATTTATACATCTAAACAGCATTTTAACAACAACTGAAGGTGACATAGTTACTTTCTTATGGTATAGAATTTAAACATGTAATATTGTCCCTTCAAAGACCTGACTCTAAACTCTACAGTCTGAGTTTAAGTGTTCTCTCTGTGCACACGTGGGTTTTCTCCAGTTTCCTCCAGACCAAAAACATGCATGTTGGACTAACTGGTAAATCTAATAAGTCCCCAGGTGAGAGTGAAAATGTGAAGGTTTGTCTCGTCGTGTCCCTCTAATGGGAGACCTTACTTCTCATTTTCCTCCTCAATTCAGCCTCACTTTCTTTCTCTAAAAAACACACAAAATAAAAAAAAATATGCAAACCTCCTGAAACCAGAGTCGTGTGCAGAAAAAAAAATCAGCAGTTTTCCTTTTTTCACTTTGTCATTTCTTGGTGACACTTTCCCCCCCAAGGGAATGTCTGGAAGCTCGGTCAGCTGTCATCCTGCAGATCTAAATGTGTCATTTAATACACCTGCTGTCATCGGATGCCTTTGATTCCTGTCCAACTATCAAATCTGTTTAGATGTGTCGTAATCTCGTTAGATTAGTGGATGGTTCTGACGTCGCGGTCCGTCTACCTCAGACTGATAAATGTTCGAGGTGATCTGAGCTGACAGGCGAGAAGACTTTCTCCCGTTGTCTTCGACGACAGATCGGTTTCTCTGTCAGGATCATCTGATATCAGTTTGCTCCATCACTCAGTGTCTGCAGGGAAACTTTACCAGCCTCGAGCATCAACAAACCTTTTACTGTTTTTACTGAGATTAAAAACCATTTTAATCTCTGACAAACATCATTATCTCCACTCAGCAAAATCTGGCCATTAAAGGGCCTGTGACAGACCCATGAAATACAAAAAGTCAAAGA